CCCAAAAGTACATGGATTGAGGCCACCAGCTGCTCTGCAGGAAGATGGGCAATCTCCTCCCGTGTGATTAACTGTCTCTGAAATCCCGTTGGAGGGTCAACTATAGGTCCATTCTGATTCTACAGTACACAACAACATCTTACTCAGTTATAGTCCTATTTTCATAATAGTGGTCTTACACAGTATTTATCTTTATGTGACTGAGATATTTCACTCAGCAAAATGTTCTCTAGTCACTCCAAAGTTATGTAGTATTTTAAGAAATAGTTTATGTTATTTCTTAGTGCTATACAGTATTCTGTTGTGTGAATGTACCACAACTTCTCAATGCATTCACTTGTTCATGGGAATTTGGGTGGCTTCCATTTTCTTGCTGTAGTGAATAATGTTGCTATGAACATAGGTGTACAGCTGTCCATTTGTGTCTCAGTTCTGTTTTCACTGGGGTATATTTCTAGCAGTGGAATACCTGGGTCATTTGGGATTTCTATATGCAGCTTTTTGAGGAAATGCCACACAGTCTTCCATAGTGGTTGTACTATTTTACAATCCCACCAGTAATGTATAAGAGTTCTAATCTCTCCACTTCCTCTCCAATATTATTGTTTTCTGTTTTGTTGAAATTTGTTACTGCTGCTGGAGAGAGGTGGTACCTCATTGTTGTTTCAATTTGTATCACTCTGAGTGTTAGTGATTTTGAACATTTCCTCATATGTTTCCTGGCCACTCAAATGTTCTCCTTTGTAAAGATCCACTGTTCTTTGCCCATTGGGTTGCCAGTCTTTCTTGTGGAGGCCCTGTATTATTCTGCAATCTTTGATTTTGAGTCCCTTATCTGAAATATTGATGAATGTTTTTCCAAAATCTGTGGGTTTTCTTTTTACTCTTTTGGAGAAAGATTTTGATGCACACAGGAATTTGATTTTTAGAAATTCCATTCATCGATCTCATTTTCTCCAAGGTGTACATTTGTGGCTATGTTTGCAAGCCTATTTATGCCAAAGGCCAGTGCTTCTAATTTCCTTCCCAATTTGTCTTTTATGATTGTTATGGTTTGGGGTTTTACCCCTAGGTCTGATCCACTTTGAGTTGGTTTTTGTGTATAGTGTGAGATGTGGCTATTTCAGTTTTCTGTAGGAAGATGTGTAGCTTTGTCAGCACCATTTCTTAAAGAGACTCTCATTGTCCCACTTAATAGGTTTCATTACCTTGTTAAATATTAGTTGACAATAGGTCAGTGGGTTGGTTTCTGTATTCTTGATTCTATTCCATTGATCTATCCAGTGATTGTACCAACACTATGAAGCTTTGAATACTACAGGTGTGGGAGAAGTTTTGAGATCAGAAAGTGAGATGCCTCCAACTTCATTTATGTTTTTTAGAAGAGTTTTGCTTATTCTGGAGCTCTTTTCCTTTCCAAATGAAACTGGAAATTGCTTTTTCTATCTCTAATATCAATATCTCAATCCCAGGAAACACTCTCACCACTGGACAATAAGCAGCGTCATGATGGATGGAAGAGAGACTGAGACATCAACAGCTTCTTTTTCTTGGATCCACAATTAACATCCTTGGTACCAGCAGTCAGGAAATAAGAATACATATTGTACTGAGAAAATCTGCAGTTATGGACCTTTCCAAATTATCTAGGAGTAGTGATGTCACTTTGAGGACTAAGGTAAGTCAGACTCAGGCCAAAGTCTTTTTTGATTACTAGCTATGCATCCGAAAGCTGAATAATAAATAAGAATGACAGAAGAGTTGATGCCTTTGAGCTATGGTTTTGGAGGAGAGCACTGAACATCCCATGGACGGCCAAGAGAATGAATAGATACATTTTGGAAAAGGTGCAGCTGGAGTGCTCTTTGAAGGCAAGAATGATGAGGTTTTGCTTTATATACTTTGAATATATTGCTGGAAGGTACTATTATTTAGAGAAGGACATGATGTTGGGAAGGGTGGAGGGTTGCCAAGTAAGAGGAAGGCCCTCAACCTGGTAGATTGACAAGATGACTACTGCAATGGGATCTTGTGTGTCAGGAAGTGTGAGTCTGGCACAGGGTAGAACAAGGTTCAGATCTTATGTTCATAGAGTCACTTTGAGTCGTGCTTGAATCGACAACACCTAAAAACAACAACAACAATTTCCAATATATTTTTCCACAGACATAGTTAATTTCTCTTTAGTCTATTCAGTGAAGTCCATGTGTACAATTGCCGATAATTGTTTTTTTAAACAGTATTTTTTTTAATGATGCAAAGAAATTGATTATCAAGTGTTGGGGAATGTTGGGAAGGAAGGGAGGGCCTCTAGCCAGGACAGATCGCCTAGCTCTGGATAAGTGCAAGCCTCCCAATGGCCTTTAATACAGGGTAGAGAAAGCTCTCCTGTATTTGGCTGTATCAGCTTGAGAAAGCTTGCCACCTGGGAAGATGGTTGCCGCATCTGTTGGCTGGGAGTGGTCTGCAAGAGGCTGAGGTTCTCCTAATCAATCCATATATCCCACATCTGCAAGCCCACCCTATCTTGTCTTCCTGTTTACTTGCTCATATATAAGTACACTGTAGCCCCCAATAAAGTTGACCTGGATTGACCTTCTGAATGGCTTTTGGAGTGGTGTGCCTCCATCGTGCTTACCCCCATCAGGGTGCTGTTCTTCTTTGCCAGCAAACGGACAGCGACAATCAAGGATGAATATTTTAGCCTGCTGACACAAAGAGTACTAATAGGCTGCTGAGAGGCTGCAGTCTGAACCCAGGCAGTGACTCCTTAGAGGAAAGATCTGCTGATCTATTCCCATAGAGATCGTTTGATATGTGCTGTAGTTGATACAGTCAACTACAACTCACAGCGGCCCTCTGAACAACAGATCCAAACCTTGCCCTATCCTGCACTACCCTCATGATCCCTGACATGCTTGAGCCCATTGTTACAGTCACTGTGTCAATCCACCTTGTTGGGAGGTCTTCCTTCTCTGATCCTCCTTTGCATGTTGTCTTTTTCTAAGGACTGACCCCTTCTGGCAACATGCCCAAGTATATAATATGAAGTTTCACCATGCTTGCCTCTAAAGAGCATCTTGATTACAGCATAGAAAATTACAGGAGTAGATCCAGTCTATTACACAGGGGCCCAGTGAGTCCAAAGCAGCTTTATGATACTTAATAACAATACATTTATCAGCAAGCTATTCTTGACTTAAAGCTAAAGCATGTATAAGTTGTTGTGATAATCAGAATATTTAAAAGCTAGTATATAAACAATAATGTGGCTTAGTGGTAAAGAGTTGCAATGCCAACCCAAAGGCAGGTGGTTTAAAGTCACCAACTGCTCTGCAGGAAATAGATGGGCAATCTCTTCACATGTGTTTTATTAACTCTGAAAGCCCAATGGAGAGTCAGCTATGTGTCAGTTCCAACTCAAATGTACACAACAACAACAATAATAATAATAATATGTAAAAAGAAAAACACACATCACCACAAACAGACTTGAAACTATAAGGAAAGAGCATAAAATGACTATGATTTCTACAAGATTTTTGGGGGGGGGTATTTTGCTGCTTTCACACTTATGCAAATGGTATATACTAATAGTCAAAACTCAACCTCACAGCTCTTGAGTTCATTTTGACTCATTGTGACTTTTCGAATCCTTAGGGGAGAAGAATACTCTCAAGGAGGTAGATTCAAATTGCTAAGCTTCTGGCTAGCAGCCCTCTGCATTATGCATCATGCCATCAGGGCTCCTTATAAGCTCACTGCTGTCCAGTTAATTGAGACTCTACCTTGGGTTTCTGTGGCAGTAAATTCCCATGGAGAAGACTGCCCACCTTTCCCTCTTGGAGTGCTTGATGGATTCTAACCACCAGAGACTCGCAGGCTGTTTGTTGGTAGCAAAACCTGCTATGGTCTATGTCACCAGAGCTTACACACTGCCAGTGAGTCAGAACAGACTCATAGCTGACCTTCCAGAGGGTTTCCAGAGGCTTTCTATTGTATGGCTTTCTATAGTCCATCTTTCTCCCAAGGAGCTGCTGATGGATTTAAACTGCCACACAGGGGCCACTTATGGGTTGGCAGTGCAGCTCCTTATGGCTACGCCATCACGGTGTCCTATGCTAATATATATGTTGTTATTGTTATGCATCATTGAGTCAGAATTGACTCACAGGTGACCTCCCAAGGTATTTGGAGGCAGTAAATCGCAGAAGACACTGTTCATCTTTCTCTTGCAGAGGAGACAGAGGATTTGAACCACATGCCTTTGAGTTGGCAGCAAAACTCCAACTAAGTTACCAGAGCTCCCTTTTTCTAAAGCAAAAACATCTTTCATATAGCTCTCTATAGATGTGTATATAAAGTAGATTTCTCTCTTCTTCCACATATGTACATATTTGTAGCTCAGCCTCGGAAACCAATGGAGGACTGTTATGAATCAGGATGAACTAGAATGCAATGGATTTCAGATCGGAGCCCACAGACAGACAGACCAACAGACAGACAAAAAGACAGACACACACACATATTAAAGGGCATAATTATTATTTAAAAACAACTATAATTAAATTACAAAAAATGATTTTGACATTATCTTGGGAAGATGAAAAGGTCTTTTCCCCTTTTCTTTTTAAAGAGAGAGGGAAATTACAGGTTAATGAAATAATTTGAATGTAAGTGAATATATTCTATTTAATGTTTTTGCTTAATATTCCTGACTTTAATTTCAATTTAATACGAAAACAGCAGCGCTTATTTTCTGGAAGAGAAATTACACCCATACCCATTTATTCATCAGTAAACAACAGAAAATGCCCAACTCCTGTCATCATAAGCTCCCTGTGACCCAGTCCAGATCCTGGTGCCAGAGATCATCAAAACCTAGTGGAAATAAAGCACCCCTTGTTCCCAGTGCATCCTCTGAGTAACTAAGATGGAAACAATTATGCTTGTCCAATTAATAAGGAGTTCATGCTCTGTTTCAGAACCATCACACTCACCCAATGTTTTGTAGTCATTTCTAGCTTTGCTTGCTCTTAGTAGTGACTGTATCTTCACAATTTCATATTTCTGTAAAAGATTTAAATGAGGCATGATTTTCCAGAGTCTTCACTACTGCATAATAGTAGTACACCAATGTGGGCTATTTGTGAAGTGATGGTATTTAGATGTGGTATACAGAGAGGATTTTCTCCCCTATTTTCTTTGAATAAAGAGTTAGCTAAACTATAGAAGGGTGTTTAAATAAAAGTATCTAAATAGGTAAAAGATTTAGCACAGAAATAAGATGATCCAATTTTTGTTCATGTGTTGATAAAGATCCTAAAATTTTTTTTTTAAAAAAATTAAGTTACATCTATTTAATCAGCAGTTTGAAAATCCAGCCATGAAATGCTGTACAGTATTTCCCTAGTATTTTCTCTCTAGCACTACTCACCTAGAGTCTAGCACTAGGGTGTCCTCTCACCCATTTTGTGCCCAGTCATGTCTGACGCATCTCTAAACATGACTTCTGGGCAAGAAGCAAGCTTCCAAATATTACATCCTCTTCAATTCTTTTTCCTACTATGGTTTAGTTCCACCATTTCACTAATGCTACAAAGCATTCATTTAGTTAGTTCTCAACCAGGGTAAAATCAGGGATTTATCCACACATATTTCTCTTACATGCTCTTTGAAGAACTTTAGTCGTGAAAGGTAGTTCCTCCTAGCTGCTAACATTCGGAAGAAGGACTGAATCTAAAAATAAAGAATGAAAGGCAATTACCAAGTTATTAATAATGTGCTTTTACATAATATTTCTAAAAGAGTTGGAATTTATTTGATAAAAAAATTAAAATTGACAGTCCCCTAATTAAAAATGTCTAGAGCCTGCTCCCTTTCTTCTTCTACTTCTTTTATTGCTTTTTCTCTTAAGGAATAAAAAAACCCCCACAAACCCTACATATCCTTCTTAGTCTCATTAGCTTAATAGGAAAGAATGAAAAGGTAATATACCTTTGTATTATTTTGCTTAAAAGAGCAAGGTATTTTGTTCAGAGTTACAAGAGACTACGTGACCAGGTGAAACTAAGAGTCTCCCTAACTCCAGGTTTCTTGTGATATTCTGTAAGTGCATTTACTACCCTTTAAACAAAGTCTCTCCTTGGAGGCTAGGATTTTGAAGCTCTGCCTCACTTACTTAGGGCACATTGCCAGGAGAGACCAATCCTTGGAGAAGGACATCATGCTTGGAAGGGTGGACAGACAGTGCAGGAGAGAAAGACTCTGGATGAGATGGATTGATATAGTAACTGAGGCAATGTGGGTTGGTGTGCCAGAATTAGTGAGACTGGCTCAGGACAGAGTAGGCAGAGCTGTTGTATATAGGGTTGCTGTACATTGAATGGCATGTAACAATAACATACTATGACAGGTTTGGAAACAGAAGTGGCATCCACTTCGTAAACAACATGCCTCCAGAAACTCTATGAACATTGATAAATGTTGATAGTTACAGAGGGGCTGCAGGCCTTTTGTTCATAGGGTTGCTATGAGTCGTGTTCGACTCGAAGGCAATCAACAACAACAACAACAACAACAACAACAACAACTATCCTTTAGGGTTTTGCTGTTTGGTTTTGTTTTTTTAAAACTATGAAAACTTCCAAAGAGATCTCACTAAGGAACAAGCATGTCTTGCATAACACACACAGGCATTAGTCCATTAAAGAGCTCGGGTACAAGGAATATACCATGTCATACACTTCACAGTTCAAAGGTCTTTGTGGGTTTATTACTTTTTTAAAAAAATTGGTTTGGCTACAAAGTTTATATACATTGTGTTTCACACTATTCTTCATTCACATTGTGTTTCATACAATCATTCTCATACATTATGTTTTACAAAATCAATCACCATTGGACTTGCCCATCATTATCCTGTCTTTTCATTCGGATACTTCCCATTTGCTTCCCCCCTCCTTCCACACACCAAAATGTTCAGCCCTGTGGTTTCACCCCTACCTATCCTCACAGCTTCACTCCTCCCTCCCCCCTGTCTTTTAAAAATTTTTTTAATTTTTGTGTGAGTGTACCATCAAATCAGATCTGACTGGTACAGGAGGAGATTGTCCCTCCTTCCCCAGCAGAGCATCTGGTGGATTTGATCCGTGCACCTCTGGGATTGTAGCTGCAGCTCCTTGTCACTAGGTCACCGAGCTCCCCTCCCCCCTGTCTTTTAAACCTATCTCCTCTGATTTAATTTTCTCCAGCTTGCTCCTTCCCAACCTTATGTAGGTTTTCAAGTTAATTTGAGTTGATTTGGGTAGAGTCTTCTTCTCTTTCTGGACAAATGGGATCACAACTCCTTTCTTTCTATTATCTAAGAGTAACTAGCCTGGTGGAAAGCTGAATGAAGCTCAGAATTAGCTCTGATTTTACTAACTCATTGCTGGTAAGTTGGGAGCAGCTCCAGTGGTTTTTTGAAGGTTGTAAATCTCACATGGAGAGATTTCTCATCTTCCTCCCTTTGAGCCACTGGTGGATTCGAACCACTAGAGAGAATCAACCCTTGGGTTAACAGCATTAATTCCTTCTGGAATCTACCACAGGAATGCTTTATGATTCCTTTAGTCATTTGGTTTTACAATATTTCTTTACAATTAATGATTTGTGCTGCTAAGCTTAAGTATTCTAAATTACTATTAGCTAATGTGACAAGAGAAACATGAAATAAATATGGGTTTTTCCCAAACTTCCTAGACAAATAACCCTGATTGGTTACTAAGCTATATATACTAATATCTCTCTCTTTCTCTCTCTCTCTATCTATCTATCTATCTATCTATAAAAGTACATATATATACTTTTATTATTTTTTTGTGTGTGTTCCGTCAAATCAGGTGTGACTGGAACAGGAGGAGATTGTCACTCCTTCTCCAGCAGAGCATCTGGTGGATTAGAATTGCGTATCTCTGGGATTGCAGTGCAGCTTCTTGCCACTAGGCCACCAGAGCGCTCCCTGTTACTAAGCTCTTAAAGGGACCTCTGATGGCCAATTGGGTAAGGAATTGGTGCTGCCAACCCAAAGGCAGTGGGTTCAAATACACCAGCTTCTTTGCAGGAAAAATATGGACAATATCATTCTCTGCTTTTTCTAGCCTCTGAAAACCCACTTGGAAGTCAGCCAAGAGTCAGTTCCCACTCATTGGTAATGAGTATGAGTAAGAAGCACTTTTAATTTGGAAAGAAGTGGACTCAGTTACAGCGGTTTAACTGACTTGCCTGAAGATGATGGCCTGAGTAGTAGAGCCACCCACCACTTCCAAGTCCTTGTGATTTCAAGGTCAACCCACCTTTTCTAGAACATGAATTTATGAAAAAATTTACGCCAATCTCTTGATAAAGTGGTAAAAAAGGTTTACCTTCACAATAGAAGGAAGATTTCTAAGGAACAGTTGCTTTCTGTCATCATATGCTTTCCTTTGTTTGTATCCTCGCCAAAAAGCCTGTGGAAAGAGTTGATTACTTATTAGCAACATTTTTCTCACATTTTTTTTTTTTTAGGTACTGAGTTGAGACAGTTGGGGACCTTCTCTGACTCTTATCTAGAAATCATGGCAATTAAATAAGTAGAGAGAGTAGACCAGCTAAGGATAAGGATTGCCCAAACTCAGGGAGGCAGACTGAGAGTGATCAATGATGAGGAAGTAGCCCTTTACTGCAATACAAAACCAAATTTTACCAAAGTCCTAGGTGACAAGAGAGAAATAATACAACAGACATTCCTCTAAAGCACATTACAACTGTTGTTACTTAGGTGACATGCCATTGATCTGAGAATAACTCATTCATTATTTTCTGTCTTTTTTATTTCTCCCAATTTTGACTATAATGCTGATCTTCATGTGTTTTTCTTTTTTTGGTTTATCCTTTTTGGAATTTACTTAGATTTCTGAATATATGATATTGCCTTTTGTTAATATTTGTAACTTCTCCAAGTCTGGGATATATGGATCAAAAAACAAAACCCAGAGAACTTTCTGCCATGTCATTCTTTGGGTTCCAAGTTTCTCTAGCAAGTAAAACTTGTTTACCTTTCTGTGTTCTGTTCATTTGACATGAAATTTCTAGAGTATTTAGTTATACTTGGTGATAAGAGAAGGGGCAAGTATATCTATTTCATCTTTTTGAAGTAGAAGTGAAAATCAAATAATTTTTAAATATTCAAAGTTTTATAGTTTCTATATCATTGAGACCTTATCAATTTTTCTAGACATAATCAGAGACTTATCTGCGTTATGCAGACGACACAACCCTGCTTGCTGAAACTGAGGAGGACCTCATGTACTTGCTGCGAAGGGTCAAGGACTGCAGCCTTCAGTATGGACTGAGGCTCAATGTCAAGAAGACAAAGATTCTCACCACTGGACCAATTGGCAGCGTCAGGATGGATGGCGAAGAGACTGAGATTGTTCACAGCTTCAGTTTGCTCGGCTCCACAGTCAACACTCTTGGCACCAGCAGTCAGGAAATCAAAAAGCGTATCGCGATGGGAAAGTCTGCTGTTAGGGACCTCTCTAAAGTACTCAGGAGCAACGGTGTCTCTCTGGAGACTAAGGTGCGCCTGATACAGGCCATGGTCTTTGCAATCTCTTGTTATGCATCAGAGAGTTGGACAATGACTAGGGAGGACAGAAGGAGAGTGGATGCTTTTGAGCTGTGGTGCTGGAGAAGAGTACTGAATGTACCATGGACTGCCAGGAAAACAAACAGATTCATCTTGGAGAGGATTAAACCAAGCTACTCCTTGGAGGCAAGGATTCTGGGGCTTCGTCTGACATACTTTGGACATGTTGCCAGGAGGGACGGGTCCTTGGAGAGGGACATCATGCTTGGGAGGGTGGAGGAACAGCGCAGGAGGGGAAGACCCTCTATGAGATGGATTGATTCGGTGACTGGGGTAATCGGGATGGATGTGTCAGAGGCAGTGCGGTTGGCGCAGGATAGAGCAGGGTTTAGGGCGGTTGTGCATAGGGTCGCTATGAGTCGCAAACGACTCGATGGCACATAACAACAACAACAATCAGAGACTTAAAGAAAAAAAGTAATAATATATCCAAAATAATAAATAAAAAATCTATTAGAACTAAGATAGGCCATATAGTTGACTAGTTATAAAATGAATATGTAAACTTTAGAAATTTTCTATGTGTGAAAAATAAGTAACACAATACAGGTGTCATTCATAGTGGTTGTTGTTAGGTCCCCAGTTAACTACACTCATAGTAATCCTATGAAGAACAGATCTGAACCTTGACCTATCTTGTACCATCTTCATTATCTCTGATATACTCTGAGTCCATTGATACAGTCACTATGTCAGTCTCTCTTGTTGAAGGTCTTCCTCTCTTTTGCTGATACTCTTCTTTTTCAAGCATGATTTCTTTTTACAGGAACTGGTCCTTCCTCACAACATAGGCAAGCCAAAATTCACCATCCTTCTCTCTAAGGAGCACCTTGGCAGCCTTCTCCAAGACATAATTGGTTGTTTCTTGGGTAGTCCATGGGATACTCAGCACTCCTCTCTAACATCAAAATGCAAATTATTTTTTTTTGTTTCTGTCATCCTTAGTCCCTGTCTAATTTTCAGATGGACAGCAAGTAAATGAAGAGATCATGGGTTGAATCAGATGCATCTTAGTCTTAAAATTCGCATTGTTGTTCTTTTGCACTATGGAGAGGTCCATGCAGCAAATTTTCCCAATGCACCATGTCTTTTGATATCTTTCTTTCTTTTTTTTTTGATTGTGAAAAACGTGTATGGGGATACAAGGAAGTGAGGGTTGGGAACAGAAAGGTAAGGATGGGCAGGGATGAAACTGCAGGGAAGCAGTTGTAGGGCTATACAATTTGGTGGCTGGGGGAAGTAGGTGAAGGGAATGAGAAAGATCTCGTGGCTACCAGATGATACAGGGCAATGGTAAGCATAGTCCAATGGTGATTAAACAAACTGTCTTTTTCACTTGTGGGTTTTTCAATTGAGAATGGGGTACAGACTCGCTGGCTTCTTCATGCTGAAGAGGGGCGTTGATGTGAAGGGGGAAAGGGAGCACACTTTATCACCTTACTGGTGGTCCTGGATTAAAGCTGCTTGCCTTCTTGTTCTGTTAGAAGATATTTTCCTGACATTTATTCCCCTCTGGACTGCAAAGTGTTTTCACAGGTGGGTCCAGTGGGGATGGCTGACTGAACCCTGAGGTTCCATCCTCCTTTGCTTCCTTAGTTAGCAGTTGTATTTCCTTTTTTTCTCTGGACCTGGGTTCAGGGTCAGGTCTGGAGTAAAACTCAGTGTTAAGGTTACCTATAGGAAAGGGAGCAAACCTAGAGAGAACAAACTTGTGAGTTACAAATAGAAGGGCTTTGGAGGTGTTACTTACAGGTGTACTGGGGGAGAAGATGGAGGAAAGTAGCCTAGATAATATTCTCTGTATACCCTAGGCAGTATTTTCCAGCCATCTTAAAGTTCTACCCAGGGGTCGGATGACACAACCTAAGGGCCAAAGAGCTCATCCTGAGGACCAAATGGCTCACATCAAGGGCCAAATGGTGGACCCCAAGGGCCAGCTCACCCCAAGCAAGGGCCAGCTCACCCCGAGGGCCGGCTCACCCCAAGGGCCAAATGGCCCACCCCAGGAACCGATCAGCTCACCCTGGGGGCCAAGCAACTTACCCCAACGGCCAAATTACTCTCCCCGAGGGCCAAATGGCTTACCCTGAGAGCTGGATGGCATACCCCGAGGACCAGGTGACACATTTTAGAGGCTGGGTGTCACACCCTCCTACCAAAGTCCCCCCCCCCCAAGGTCTGGACCCTGTGCCTCACTGAAGACCACGTGGCCAGGGACAGTGCCCCCATTACTTCCTTTCTCTCCAATAAGTGGTCATACTGTAATTTGAAGTAGGTGTCACTGCCCTCCCCCTTTATAAATGGAGAAGGGGACTTGAAAGTGATGAACAGACGCTCCCTATGTCTAAACAGTTCTTGGTAGAGGTAGTCAACAGATCAAAAGATGTGATGTATTGAGGATATCTGCCATCTCGGATATGCTGCTATTGTTAAGTGTCACTGAGTTGTAGACAGCTCACAGTGACTCTTATAAATCCATTGTATTGGTGATCTTCTTCTCTGGCCTGTCCAAGGAAATCTTACCATGCTGCCTTGTCTCCTGCCACTGCCATGTTAGTTCCAAGAATTCTCCCCAGAACAAGTCTATTCTGCAGTGGTGTGGAGGCTCTGCTGCACCAGCGGGGGGATTCCTGGGGTCTGGCTGTGGGAGCCTCATTGAGCTGTGGTGGTGGTGGGGGGCTCGGCAGTTGGGGGCTGGGAGCCTCAGGACTCACCCATTCCTCCCTGGGAATCCTTGATCTCCTGATGTTGAGCCTCTATCCACAATTGAGGATCAGCAATCAACTAACTGTTTAACTGTTCAATTATCCATAAACAGAGGACTGTAGAAGGCCATGGTGGCCCACCTCTATGAGGCCCGCTGTTCCTGTAGCTCCCTATGTTGCTTCCGCTGCTGCTGCCACCACCCTATCTTTTGATTTCTAAATTATTGGCACAAAAGGTGTTCATTATAGATACAAGTAAGATAAAAATCATTGACATCAATCTTTTTTTCCTCTCCATCTATCTTGATTTTGCCTATTGGTTCAGTGGTGAGGTGTTTTGTTAATGTTGAGATGTAATCCATATTGAAGGCTGCAGTCTTTGATTTTCTGTAGCAAGTGTTTCAAGTCCTCCTCATTTTGAGCAAGTAATGCAGATGAGTTGTTGATGAGTCCTTCTTCAATTCTGATGCCACATTCTTCTTAATATACCACCTCTCAAATGATTTGCTCAACAGCCCTGATGGACAACTTTCTTGATTTTTACATCATTCAGTGTTTCCTTACTCTGTTCAGACAACAGGTTTAGTTAAGTAATTCCAATATACACTGTGTCCTACAGTATAATATAGAAATGTACTAATGTCATTATTATGAAGTTGTTAATCCTATATAAACTAAACATTTAATGTAATAATTTTAAACAAATAAAATTGAAATTTTATTACTTTTTTAAAGTAGCTCTTGAGACAAATGCAACTTTTTGAGAAAGAGCCATACCACCTTCCACAGTGGTTGCACCATTTTACACTCCCACCAACAGTGAATAAGGGTTCCAGTTTCTCGACAACCGCGCCAGCATTTGTCGCTTGCTGTTCTGTTAAATTTTGCTATTCTGACTGGGGTGAGATGATATCTCATAGCTGTTTTGACTTGTATCTCATTTTCAGTGAATATATCTAAACAATCAAACTCAAAGGATTTTTAATGAAGCATCCATTTAGGAAAACTCACCATGAACTTTCTCATAGTACGGCATTCTGGGATGAGAGAATCTGTTAGCTTATATGACCAACTGAAAGTTGACAAAAGTGTCTCAGGAGTACAACAGCCCATGAGATGTGGAACTTATCAGAAAGTAACTAAGATTTCACCAAATATTGAACTAGTCTAACACTTTTAGAATGAACTCCACTCATCTATTCTATATCACTTTTTAATATACCAAAGACTCAATACTTAACACATTCTCTTCCTTAAAATTTCATTATTATATGGAATCTCTACTAATTGTTTACATACATTTCCCCTCCCCTGTAATCTTTATAAATTATGAATGCTTGATTGCTTCTTTTCTTACAAAAGCAATTTAGCCAGGTATAAAATTTTTGGAGCAGAAAGTTACATACTTCATATTTCTTTTGCCAAAATTCCACATTTTTTTCTATTATAGAAATTCTAGTTCCAGTAGGACTCTAAGCTCAACTAATTGCTATTGAGTCAATTCCAACTCAAAGCTTTCCACTGGGTTTCCAAGGCTGCAAATCTAAATAGGAAGAGATTGTCCATCTTTGCCCCACAGAGCCTTGGATGGCTTTGAACTGCCAGAGATATGCATTTTCCGTTCATAGTTCAATGGCTTCTTCCTTAGTACTGTTGCTCCTGCTGAGGTGCAAGAAAAAGCTTCAAAGGATCATTCCTGTCCTCTTCCAGCCTCCTCCTGACTTTAGATCTGGGTCCTAGGACGAGTGAGATATTGTATTGGCGAGATCTTTCAGCATGTCTTCCCCTGCAACTGTGCTCTGTGTTGCAAGGCTGGCAGTCCCATTGTTGGTCCAAGAAATGGCACACTGGATGCTACTACTACAAACCTCTGTATAGAGTGGAACCTGACAATAGATGATACCTCTTTCTATATTTTCGAGCTTTTATTCACTGTTAAGAGTTCTCGTTTTTGTTTTAAAAGACAGAATGAACTGAAAAACTTATTGATTCATTTGAGAGCATGGCCACTGAGTGATAGATTAGGGGAAGACTTTTATTTTTTTTAATTCAATCATTTCTACCTTGTTAACATCCTAAATTCTGAGCAAATTCAAACATCTAAGTACTTGTCATATTCAGAACACAAGAAGACAAAATTTTAAAAACTCATTTTATGTTCTGAACAGTATTATATATAGTTGAGTTGGGGAAGCAGGCTAGTAAATATGATGACAAAACAAAAATTCTTCAACTGAAAAACTTACGTAAAAAGACAGAATTATTGGCTTAAACAAAACCCCATCAAGTGCCAATCAATAATAGCATTGCTTTGGATTTACACAAGGATAAAAACATAGCCGTCTAGAATCCAGCATGCTGGTAGGTAGAGGGTTGTATGAAAGTACAGAGGAGAAACAACTAAATCTGGCAAGATTCCTCACCTGCCAACCAATAAGATGGAACAAATAATAAAATGCTAGACAAAAATTTAAAACAAAGAAGTTGTGAATGAGGATTCCTGGCAACTCCAAATGAAGAATAAAAGATTACACAAGGGAGAATAAACACTTGGAGATGTTAATGGTTTTGTTTCATTAGCTATTCTGTTATTTCTGGCTTTAAAGTCTAGAAATCCAGACAATATTCAACATCCACTAACCATGAATAAAAAAGGCAAATTGTAAAATATTTGCTCCAGATAGTAGAAGATGCATGCAGAGTCAGCTTCATAGAGAAACATGATTTAACCTCTCCTCTCAGGTTTCTCTTTGGCTTCCTCTAGATTTACAGCAGATGGAAATGATCCTGATGTTCACAGGTTAAAAGCCATTTACCATCAAGATTTTTCCTATTATAAAGCCTTAATAAAGTAGATCGGGGACCACTGACCAGATAAAACTGCAATCAGGTTTGGTCTCTTAGAACACAAATATGGTATGTCGTGAGGGCCAGATCTCTATGGGACAGCCTTACTTTTCTGGGTCTTGAATATTTTCTATCTTAGACGGAGTGAACTCTCACCATTTCTCTATTGTTTGTTTTTGTAGAAACTATCTGAGTGAGCTTCCTTTCTCTGGCAGGTTCTGCCTTACACAGGTTTCAGCTTTTTCAGTTTTTATCATCACTGTCCTATTAGCAAACAAAATATTGTCCAGGGATAGATAGAAAATCTGCTATAACAAGTGATAGATGATTCACATACCTGTATTTTGGTCACATATGGCTCTTTATCATACAAAAAGGCTTTCCTAGCTTCAAACTCTTCATATATGAGCTTTCCTGATGACGTGCTTTTAAACCGATTAATCAGGTCTTCTGAGGCAGACCACAGATGCTCACGGATGTAATCTGTTGAAACTTTGAAAATAATGTCCTGGCAAGAGAGATTTCTTAAGGTTATATGTTACACATTAGTTGAAAGGAGAATACCTGCATTTATTTTAAGAGTTTCTGAAAATGTTTATCTATAAACAATGATAGGAAGAACTGGTTTGGTTTGATTTAAAAACAAATTTGTGTAGAGCTGAGAGAGGAACTGGCTTAGCTTCTTTCTAGTGACAATCCCTGATTCTGGAATCCTCTGAATTTTGTGCTGAAATGGAACAAAAACATGGTTGGACTACTCAGAATTTAGCATTAGAGATGTACAGATGATTGCCTGGACGCCTGAGCTCTGCAGAGCATAAAACGGACAGAGATGATCACTCTAAGAATATGATTTGCCTTCTCTGCTTGTGATTTCCAAGGAGTAGCCCACAGAGTTCACATAATCCCAGACTTTGCTTTCTTTCCTGGGTCTGAGAAGGCAGATCCTTACAGTGAACTGGGGGAAACCCCAAAGGCAGTGTAGGAAGAAGACGTGGAGCACATAGAAAAAGAGACTCAGAGTAGGAAGGGGAACTATCATGAGCAGATGGGGGAAATAGAGAGGGAGAGAGGGAGAGAAAGAGAGAGAGAGAGAGAGAGAGAGAGAGAGAGAGAGAGAGAGAGAGAGAGAGAGAGAGAGAGAGAGAGAGAGAGAGAGAGAGAAGGGTTGTATCTTTCTGTGGGTTATGAATGGGGTTTACTTTTCTATTTTTTGAGAGTTGCAAGCAAATGCTGGTTTCCTGTGGCTAGTGCCTCTTATCCAGGACAACTGAGGTTAGTTAATATACATTGTTAAAAGCACAGTCAGATGAAAGTGGTATAAATAACTGTGAGGAAAGGCATGTATATGTATTTTTGCTGAATAAAATCAGTAATTCAGGCTTTTTAGAAGACATACTTTTAGAAGGCATTTTTCAATAAGCTTGAAAGGTTGCTGCTATAAAGTACCATTGAGTTGATTTCTAGCTCACATAGACGCCAGGTGGCCAAGTAGAACTGTCATACAAAGTTTCCCCAGCTGTAATCTTTACAGAAGCAGAGTGTCAGTTATTTCTCCCTTGGAGTTATTGAGTGAGTTTGAATCCCTAGGCTGTGAGCAACCTAGTCCTTATTTAATGAAACAAAATTATGTCTAGGGCACCTTTGACTTCTATCTTAGCAATTATTTGCTTTGAATTTTAACCCTTTGATGCATCTTTTTTTATAGTTGGATCCACCTGTTCCCATCATAAAACATGGTTAACACTTATTGCTACAATGCCATTTTCTTATAAATGGCAGGATCTTTGCCTGAAATGAGTAGCTACAGCCTTAACTATATTCTTGTCAATCAGGATTTTTTGTATCATTGTTAGCCTCTGGCTTTGCTCTTCTTTGAGTTTCAGTAAATGTTATATGTTTGACTTTCTATACAGTACTGCTAATCACAGTATCTTTGATGGTATTTTTTAGTAAGTCTTTAAAATCTATATTGTGTGTCCTGAACAGAAATTAATTATTCAATCAGCTGCTTTTGAGCTGGCAGCACAGCTCCAACCTCGGACACTAGGCCATCAAGAAAACCCTTTGGGGTAATTGTACTTTGTAATATGGTCCTTACGAGTTAGAACTGACAGTGTGAGTAGTAATAATAGTACCCAAGTATGGTTTCTTCATTCACTGCCCCCCTCCCCAAAGTTCTATTGTGAATTGGGGAAATTTTACAAAGCACATTAGTTTTCCATTCAACATCTATTAACTTATTCATTCACTAGTTGCATTTCCCACAATGTAACACCACTGATCACACTTCCTTCTTATGTTTTCCTGTGTCCATGTCTACTTTTCCTTTAAACTCTTCCTGCCTTCTGAACTTTGTCTTCAGGTAACTCATGCCCTTTTGATCTAACATTATCGACTGGTCTAAGGAGTATTTATTTTCTCAGTAGTGCTGCTCACCTAATAAACTTGTATACTATTCAGCTCAACATTGAGCAGTGAGGGTGAGCTCAATTCCTGCCCTGAAAGGCGACGAAGGATCAGTCTAGGAGGTTCTGCTAGCCTTTCTCCAGCCAGGAATACTGATTTTTGGTTTTATTTTCGTTGGTCGCTTTTTGTTTTACCAATAAAGCATTTAACCACAAGTTCTAATAAATACTAATTAAAGGTTTTTCTTTTAAAAAATTGGCAAGGACAAAGTGCATTTAATAAATAAATACGGTCTTCCAAAGATTTCAAACAAGGAACAAGGAGCAGCTAAAAGGAAGCTTTAATAGTTAAGTAAAGATTTTTTTTATTCACTCTGTCATGCTTGATCTTTGATTATCTGTGTATGAAGACATGATAATTTTTAAAACTACGTACAAAAAATGCACTAATCTGTGTCATGTTCTTAGTTCTTACATTTATATATGGATACATCCAATACTTCAAAAATGAAAACATGCTAGAAAATATTATTGTTGTGACATGCAATCAAATGAAACTTGACTCCAAGGGAGCCCATATGATGGAGAAGAACGGCCCCGTCTTCTCAGCTGTTACCGGTCCATGAGCTGCTGGTCGGATCTGAACTGTCAAACTTTCAGTCAGCAGCTTTGTTTAACCATGTGTGTCACCTGGGTTCCTTTACTTTTTAAAAGAAGTAGATATTTAATGTTTATCTGGCCTGTTCTTTGCCCAACCTTTGTCCTATGCCCCTGATGCTATCAAGAGTACTATCTCTAGCACAAAATATAGAAAAATCCTCTTTTGATTGGAATAGCTATCATGTTAAGTTGTGGTCTGAGAAGGGTTAAATGAAACACGAGAATATAGAAAGTCAACAGGATTATCACTAATTAAGTTCAACTGTGTTAAAGGAAAGCGGAAAATAAATGAAGAATAAATGATCATTCAAAATAAGCTACAAAAGTATTCTCTTTTGGATTCTGTGATGCCCATGTGGTGAACATTCTACCAGGAAGGAACCACACACCCCTCGCTCAACTGTAGTTTATGAAGATATTACTTTACATCCAGCCTTCAGGTTAATCACTTCATTCCTCCCACTGCTTACATGACACAGATTTAGTAAAATATTCACACTCTTGTTGGTATAATATACTTGACCTTCAAACATGAATCTCCTACCTCAATGTCTTTTGCCAGGAGCCATGATTCTTTAAGTGAGCATGAGTCAGGCATTTTCCAGGAACCTTCTTTGGAATCAATATTGTAATAATAGTCATATTTGTCCTGCATGGTGAATTTGAGCCATGGACCTTCACTAGTTACTGAGAAAAAAAGAATATGAAATTTTACACTAAATTTTTTAATATTAGTATAGTTCTTTCACTGTGTAAAACAAGTCAATGAATCGGCTTTCAAAGCATTTGCATGGATTACATTCAAGTCATTAGAAATGAGTCCCTAAACAAAATTCTATATATTCAAGAGGAGCTCCTTGCTAGTCTAAGAAAAAGGAAGAGATAGATGTCTAATGCTTAGACTGGATTAAGAATTTTCTATGAGGTTGACAGGCATAATAATTAGCCGAAGAGAAAGAAAATAAGGAATCTATGTCCTAGATAGATGTGAATAAAGTAACTTGTAGGCAGAGGATCAATGAGAAAGATCGTCTTTACTAAGAAAATCTTTTAATAATGGAATGAAAAATTTCTCTGATAAAGAGTCAGCTGACAAGGGCTGTGACTCACATTTAAGGAAGATCCATGATCCATGCTAAACCAAAGCAAAAGCAACTCACTTTGGGAGACAAATTCATCTAAAGTACAGAATGGCATGTGTGTAATGGAAAGGCCATTAAACAGGGTCAAAGACAATCACAGTCCCTTGGATTCATCTAGGTAATGACACAAAATAAGAAAAAGAGTGTTGAGAAGGATTTACTATATTTTTATGCAAACAATGCACATACTATAAGATTCCCTCTTCCGCTCACAGTCTTCACTGTATTACATGGAGTGGGGGAATGTCACAACCCCTTTGTTCTTCACGATATTATATATGTGAAAAATACAGCAAACTTTTTTTTTATGGGAAAGTAGGGAATGGGTGGTGGGGGGGGAATCTATGGCACTCATGGCTCTTCCTCAGGAATCCATGGCATATACTTCGTATTTATAAATACGTTTATTTTGTTATATGATGATTCCTGAACCCAACAACATAGAAAATTCTGATTTAGGTCAAGGTAAGTCACATGCTGCCAAGCAAGCACCAGACTCTGCTTTTAAAGTAAATCCAAGTTCATGTGAATTTCTGTAGAAGAATAAATGGACTCAGCTAAATAGAGGTGACTTTAAAGTCCTTTAAAATGTACTAAGAGTCCTTGGGGTGGGGGTGGGGGTGTGCCGGGGTGTGGGGGGGATTGTGTATCAATGAAGGAGTTTTTCTTTTGTTCTTCAAGGAGAGGAGAGAACTGGGGGTGGGGTGGGCGGGGAGAAAAGTGAAACAATAAATGAATGGAATTCCAAAATCTCTGTAGATGTTCATCAAAATGAATAATAATAATAATAATAACAACAACAACAATAATAATGTACTGAGAGTCGTTCTGGTTTTAAAAGCCTCTCAGCCATTCTGCCAGGAGGACAACTAGAAAATAAATTGTACATCAATTAATATGTCCACAAGTAATGTCTTTAATTTGAATCACAAATAGTTATCAAATCCTTAAATGCTTTTAGACAAATAATTTCCTGCTTAAGGCAACTGTCTCAGTGGGAACAAAAATGCCATCATTGACTAGTGTCCCCACAATACACGTAAGTAATGATATAATGTGAAAGTTATGTAATCATCCCCATAAACCAAATAGCTGTAAAAGGATTAAGGGTGGAATGCAATACTCTTTAACCCCCTTATAGCCCTATTTGTATGTAAGAGGCATTTCCTTAGGGTATGGCCTGCAATGCCTTTTATCTGTCTCCTTAGAGATAAAAGCAGAAGCAAACAAGTCAAGGCATATGTGAGAGATCTCAGAATCACCAATAAGAAAAAAAAAAAAAAAGAATCACCAATAAGGAATCACCAGAAATGGAGGGCACTGTTAGAGACTCAGGTCTCCGATCTAGGAAGCTTCTTGACATTGGAGAAGGCCAAGACACATGGAGGTCTTCAAGCAATGATGATCTGTAGATGTCAAAGGATACAAGGACTTTCCTCTACAACTAACAGAAAACAGGTCTCCCCTGATAGTGGGCACTCTGAATTTAGACTTCTAGCTCTCTTAAATAGGGAGCTCTGGTAGCCTCGTGGTAAAAAGCTGCACTTCAATCTCAAAGGCAAGGGGTTTGAATCTACCAGATGCTCCACAGGAGGAGGCGACTATTCTCTCATGCTATTTAGTGCCTCAGAAAACCTGCTGGAAGGTCACCTACGTATCAGTTCCCACTCAATGGTCCTCAGCAGCAACAGCAACCACTGGTCACTTATTCTAGAATAAGCTGATCCTACCTGGCTTTATGCTTACTTGATAACTATTAAAAGGTATGCAATATTAGGTAAGGAAAAAGTACGTACCACTTGTCCACCTAGATTTAGAAAGAGAATAAATTTCTGTTTATCGAAGCCATCCACTTACGGTATTTCTTTTCTAGCAGCACTTGATAAATATGAGGCCAAAGAGAGTGGAAACAGACCTATTTGGTGGGAACAGAACTACAGCTGAGTTCTTAGCTTGTTATAATGTCAATCACTTTGGCAATGGAAAGCTCACACTGAGCTGGACTGGCAATAGGTAAGAGCAAAGAACTACTGTCTTCAAAAAGAAGGAGGCCAGAAGCTGAAGAGAGTGTTTCTAGCACAAGATCAACATATTTACTCTTTAGAAATATATTTTTGTTTGTTAACCAGGAAAAGGCTAAGCTTAGGCATTTGGGAGGGACCGTAAAAGAGAAGGATTCTGATTAGTTATGGTGTGCATTCTGAAAGAAGGTATACTTTTAAAATTGCCTAGAAAGTTTCCCTTTTCTAGAATAAGGGGTGGCAAGTTTCGGTAAAGAATCTTTAACATGTATTGTAAAGCTTCAGTGGTAAAGATAGCCTTATACTATACAATCACAATAGTTAAAACAGCCAATGGCAGATGCACAGACAGACTAACGTAACATTCTTAAAAAAATAGAATTAAATTGATTTTTAATGCAGAGTTAGAATCCATTAAAATAGACAGATGATGTTTAATGTAGAGTTGAAATCCATAAAAAGGAAAAAGAGGTTTTTAAAAGTGGTGCTGGCAAAAGTTGGATCTCTATTTGCAAAAAAACGAAACAGGATCTACACTTCAGGCTATATTAAAAAAAAAATTGATGAAAGGCCTAAACGTAAAATCTAAAACTATTAAAACCATCAAAGCAAAAATAGGAACAAACTTAATTGAAAATATAAACCAATCCCACTGCCATTGTGTCCAGTTTAACTCCTCACATCCGTCCATCAGGGGTTTGAGGCTCTAATTCCTCATGGGAGGAGAATACACATCTTTCTTCCCTGGAGAATTGGACACACTATTCAATATCCAATCAAGTTTGTTTAAAGGTACTCTAAGGACTTTCATTTATGGCAAAAATAGATGATCAAATACAACAAAAAATTATATACAAAGAACAGAAGATAAATTTGACAACTGGCATCTTCTAAGAAGCAAATCCTCATGTACAACAAAAGTCTTAACCAAAAGAGTAAAAGGAGAATTCTACAGAGCCTGGGAAAAGTATTCAGAAACTACATATCTGACTAATTGATAAAATGTATGGAAAACTTCAATACCTGAACAACAAAAAGCAAAATAATCCAAAAAGAAAATGGACAAAAGACATGAACAGACATTTCACCACAGAAGACTTCCAGGTGGCCAACAAACATATGAAGAAATGCTCCTGTTTAGTCATTGCTGTTGGTAAGTGCCATTGAGTCACTAACTCATGGTTGTTGTAGTTGTCCTATGAACAACAGATCTGAACCTTGCTCTATCTTGCACCATCTTCATGATCTTGGATAAGCTCGTGCCTATTGTCAGAGACATTGTGACAATCCAGCTTGTTAGTGGTCTTCCTCTCATTCTCTGACCCTCTAATGCCATGTCCTTCTCCAAGGAATAGTCCCTCCTAGCAACATACCCAAAGTATGTGAGGTAAAGTCAAATCATTTGTGTACCCAAAGAGCACTCTGCCCTCTCCAAGACATATCTGTGTTCTCTTGGCTGTCCTTGGGCTGTTCAGTGTTCCCCTCCAACACCACAGGTCAAACATATCAATTCTTTTTCTGTCATCCTTATCTATTGTCCAGCTCTCAGATGCATAGCAAGTGATCGGAATAACTATGGCCTGAATCAGATGCACCTCAGTCCTCAAACTGACATTATTGCTCCTCAATAATTTGGAGAGGTGTCTAACTGCAGATTTTCTCAGTGCAAAGTATCCCCTATTTCCTGACTGCTGGTACCAAGGGTGTTAACTGTGGATCCAAGCAAGATGAAGCAGTTGACAGTTTCAATCTCTTCTTAATCTATGAGTAGATACATAGGTTGACAGGCTAGTTACCATAGGTTAACATGGGGAAATGAGACTTCACCCACAACCATATATGTTTTGCAGAATATAGTTCTCCTTATTAATTGATAGATATACACATTCAATAGAGCCTTTGGGGGAAAATTATGAAAACTTCTTAGCCATAACCAAAGATTTTGAGGGAATGAGTCATTGGGCTTGGAATTCATGACCACAGTCTTGGTGGACACCAAGGTCAACTGGCAAAACTTAGTCCATGAAGATGATATTCTATATGTCACTTTATTGAGTAGTTTTTTTGAATTGTAAAAGGTTTAAAGTGGTCATCTAAAATACTACTAATGACCTCTCTCAATCTAGATCAAAGAAGAGTAAAAGAAAGAAAAGATTAGTAGTGTAAGTGACTAATCGTATGTATGCTCATTTCAATTTTTATGACTTCAGAGCCCTTGAAAATTGGCTTTTCTAGACATTGTGTTAGTTCCTGCTGTAGTGGGAGGTCATGGTCTCTAGCTACCTTAACTGTGGTCATACATCAACAGCTGTGGGACCAATATAAAAGCATGCTTTCCATCCTCTAAGAGAAGACTTGTGTTGGTGGTGAAGACACTGTGAAGAGACTGTTGCACTGCAGTGAAGAGAGTATGGCAAGAAGTAACCAGAGTAACCCCTGGAGATAAAGGCCACAGTTAAAGGTTCTGTTTGTTGTATGACTGAAGGAATAGTTGACTTGTAACTGCTCTGAGATAAAGGTCACAATTAAAGATTTTGTTTGCTGGATGGGTGAAGGAAAAGCTGACATATAACTACTCTGAGATTAAAGTTTGCCAGACAATTGAGGGAACCAGAGGCTTCTTGCATTTGTGCTGCTGAAATGAACTTAGACTTCCACTAATTGAGGAATTGTGTGGTGGTGGTGGTAATCTGGTTTAGGACTGCTAAACTAAATCTGGAATTACATTGTGTGAAATTCTTTGACATCCCCATTCCTCAACCTATTTTCCTAACAAACACCATAACTGTGAGTAAAGTCTGTGAGTCAAGTTGCAATGAACATTGGAATCCATGATTGATAGAAATAGGTGCAGGGGCATGAGGGAGTGGCATGTTTGGCCATGTAGTTATTTGTATGGCGCTATGGATATTACTGATGGGGAAAGTTCCCGTTTATGAAGCTGGTAGAAGTCTAATTTGGCACTCCTATGTTGCATCTTCTCAGTTTCACAATGACATACTACCACCACTGAGAACTCTGAAAATAACAATAAAAGTCTCTAACTTATGCAGAAAAACTCAAAAGAAAGCACAATAGCCCAGGATTAAGGGTCTGATAGAGACTAGTGTAATACCCAAGACATGGTTATTAGTCACTTCTCAAGCTTGGAACTGAAATCATTCCACAATAAAAAGACCTAGAAGGTAATGACACTAGAGAAGAACATACTCCTTAGAATCATCATCCATACAAGATCAAAAGATAGCATGTACCTAGAGATAAAGCTCAGAAGACAGCAAGAACGTTGGGTGGAAATGGTATACACAAAGAGTAAGTGGAAGATGCAATCATTGTAACAAAACATAATGTGCATGGAAAAACACTTTCACTCGAATCACAGTTAAAAAAGTTAAAAAATCAGTGGTACTGGTAAAAAGACAAACACATAAATCAGTGTCTGTCATATAATTGGGCAAAATTTATCTTAAAATTAGCAAACTATAGCATTATATAAATCATTATATGAAAAATCTTACCATTTTCAGCTTTGCCTTGTTTTGCCTTTAGAAGTGCATCATAGTACTTGTCAGTACACTCAGGGAATATGTCATTTTCATTCAGACCAGAAGAAGTCAGTATAGACAAAATATCACCTGATTTTTCCCCCTCCAAAAACTGGTTAACACCAATGGTCAGAGTAACCCCTGGAAAATGAGAATAATGTTTCTGTTAGTAGTTATCTCCTATTTGCTTGTCCTAAATGCATGAAACTATACGTTGTTGTTATATGCCATTGAGTCACCTGTGACCCATAGCGACCCTCTGTACAGCAGCTCTGAGCCCTCCTCTGTCCTGAGCCGGTCTCGTTGATTCCAATACACCAACCCCCATTGCTCCAGTTACTGTATCAATCCATCTCATCTGAGATAATCTTCTCCTCTGTTGTCCCTCCACCCTTCCAAGCATGATGTCCTTCTCAAAGACTGGTCTCTCCCGGCCATGTACCCAAAATATGTGAGACGGAGCTTAAAAACCCTATATCTCAACCTTTTAGGAATAAAATGCATTGGTATTAAACTTCTGGTTGCTGATGTTTTTGTTACTTATGGAGATGCCATGTATTACAGACTAGAACTGCATCATTGACCTTTTTGTCGATGTAATGAGATAATGAAACATATTCTTCACTGTTTAGGTTTGAACTTCCTGCCTTTTGTTACCTGCTGCATGTAAACATTTGCACCTCTCAGGGATCTGCCTTTTGGTTACCGCTGAATATGAACAATTTCCGCCTCTCGGCCATCTGCCTTTTCATAGTTTGAAAAAATGTACTATATATGCTCAAACCTGTCAACAAATCACATACCAGTTTAGGCTGTAAGAATATTAAGATTCCATAGAAGCATAGTTTATTAAAATATCAATATTTCCTTAGTGTATATTATTTGGAAGCAGGAGTGGCATCAGTTTCCTAAATAGCATGCTTCTGGAAACTCTATAAACTTTGATAAATGTCGATAAGTTGTAGAAGGGCTTCAGGCCTTTTGTTCATAGAGTCGCTATGAGTCGTGCTCGACTTGAAGTCAATCAACAACAACAACATATTGTATTATAACATACTCCTATATGTTATCAATAGGTTGTGCTTGTGATAGTACTTTATGAAGAGGGTGAATGTACCTTATTATGAATTAAATTGTTCTCTCAAAAGTATAAAAATGTAATGATAGAATATGGAAACTATGTGGTGAACCCTACGTTTTAACTAAATCAAATAGTTGTAAGAAGATTAAGGGTGGAATAGAACAATCTTTAATTCTACCATATCCCTGATCTGATAAAAGGGAAGTTTTCCTAGCTTGTGGCTTCCAACACTGCTTATCTTAAAAGAGAGAGAAGGTGGGGAGAGCTTAGTGGGGCATCTCAGTAATACCAAGGAGGACCTGCCAGGAGTGAAGTGTGTCCTCAACACAAGGACAGGCTGGGGCACATGGAAAGCTCAAGGAACACTTGGTTTGGAGATGCTGAAGGAAACAAGAACCTTCTTCAAGAACTGAGAGAGGGGGACTTCTAGAATTTGCTCTCTGCATTAGGACTTTTAGCTTCTCAAGTTGTAAGATAATACATTCCTGTTTGTTGAAGCCACTCACTTGTGGTATCTCTGTCATAGTTGCAATAGATTAAGACACACTCAAACTGGAGTTAGGTAGGTCTAAAGGAGTTGTTAATTATTTGAGAACCAGCTTTATGAAGACAATTATGTGTCTTAGAATCAGCAAAATACTCCTGAGGCTGAATAGTCTGATACGATTTTATATAGAGGTTTAGCATTTTGTAGAACTGGGTTTTTTTTATTTTTTGTAGAACTGTTTTAAACAACTTAAACCAATGTTCAGAGAGATCATCTGGCAGTTATGTTCAATTGAGTTCAGAAAGTTCCTTCTGGAACCAATTCGGACCAATGATACATTCACCTTATCCCACTTCAAGTATCTGTCTCATCTTATATATAAAATGACACTGAACTCGTGGGCGCCTAAAATAGTTAAATTATTTATGCCTTGTGTAAGAATATTCTGGCCCAATCAAAAGAACTTTTGTTTTCACCTGTATATTAAATAAATTAGAAATATAGGCCATTTAAAAACAGGATCATGATGAAAATAGAGGAAAGATTAATGGTTTTAAAATAAAAGTATGTTAAAAATTTCCTTAAAAACACTAAATGGCATACATATATTCTCTCTCTCTCTCTCTCTCTCACACACACACACACACACACACACACACACACACAGAGACTGCTGTTATGTGCCGTCCAGTCGAATATGACTCACAGCAACCCTATGAACAACAGATGTGAAACTTGCCCTATCCTCCTGCGCCATCCTTACCATATGCTCCAGCCCACTGTTACAGTCACTGTGTCAATCTAACTTGTTGAGAGTCTTCCTCTCTTACTCAAACCCTCTACCTTTCCCAGCATGATGTCTCTTTCCAAGGACTGATCCCTCCTAACAACATACCCAAAGTAATTGAGATGAAGTTTCACCAGCCAAGCCTCTAAGAAGCATCCTAATAGCACACTTTCCCCAAGACAGACTTGTTCATTCTTTTAATACTTCATGGGATATTCCCCTGATAGCCTAGTGGGTAGAGAGGTGCACTGCCAACCCAAAAACAGGTGGCTTGAATCCACTAGCTGCTTTGAGGAGAAAAGATGGGCATTCTCCTTCTATGTTATTTACAGCCTCTGAAACCCACTGGATGGTTAGCTATGAGTCAGACTGTGAGGCTGAATGCATAAATACACACAGAAACTTACACATAAATGTTTTGGTTAACCACTGTACCACAGGGCTCCCTAAGGAGTCATAGTAGAGGTAAATCCACTTTGAGCAAACAAGAATCACTCGTGAAAATGAGCACTGAGACCCATGAAGGAGGCCTGGGCTTCTCTGCCCTTTTCCACCTTGCCTATGGTAAAACATAGGAGCAAATGCTCTGTCTTTTATCAAATTATCTGGACGTGGGTTTGATGTTCAGAACATGTGACCAGAATCTGTTTCAAATCTTCATAAAAAAGCATGAAAAACAGTTTTAAAATTAAGATTAAATTCTTTTTTAAAAACCAGAAAATTCTCATCTCCATGTCAGAACAAAGATGGATTTTCACTTCAGAGCATCTTTTTTGGTTGCTTCATAGTGTAGCAGAAAGTACAGCTACTCTTGGAGGGACGGGACAGAGAGGCAGGATTTTCAATGCACAAGTGTGTGATGCATAATATCACATATATGAGAAAACCTCTCACTTTTTATAAGCAACAGACAGCACGAGTCTGTCATAAGAATCTAGATAAAGCATAAAATACCTTCTTAAATGAGTTTGACCTAGAAAAAAAAAATTTTAACCATTATAGGTTACATGCATAAACACACACACACACACACACACACACACCATTGGTTGGCAGTCAGATGTCTCAACCACTGTACCACCAAGTCTCCCTTGGTAGGCAAATGGAGCAGTTCGATTCTGGACACACAGTGCTGCAATAAGGTAGAATCAACCCAAGAATAATTAATAATTTTTAAGTAATTTTTTCATATTTCCCCTCAGATTATTGCTGTTTCTATTTTTCTATTGGACTTAAGCCTCTATATATGCACTCACAGGATAGAGCAAGATTATTGAGAGAGTTGCTATAAATAGTGGTTGACTCTAGGGCCCCTAACAACAACAACAACATATACATCTCAATTGGAATCTTTTTTTCCCCTTGGAGTTACAGGGCTAAGAAAAGGATGACTTCAAAGTCCTAAGGATATAAAAGTTCAAGTTGGAGAAATGTAGCTATTTTTTTCTGACTGAGGAAATAAAAACCAGATGTTTCTCAAAGGCACTTTCAAAGTTTAAAAACATTTGTTAGACAAGAGAAACACATCTTAACAGCATCCTCTACCCTGAAAGAATTTAATAGATTCTTATTTATGCTATGGATTGAGAGGTTAACAAACCATACTTTGAGGAATATTAATTTGTGTAGGTTATTACTAATGCATTTTAAGTGTTCATGTATCATTCAGCACTCTTGGCACCAGCAGTGAGGAAATTAAAAGACAAATTGCATTGGGGAAATCTGCTGTCCAGGACCTCTCCAAAGTGCTAGAGAAATTATGTCAGTCTAGAGACTAAGTAGCACCTGATCCAGGCCATGGTCAGACAATGACAAAGGTGACAGAAGAATTGATGCCTTTGAGTTGTGGTGCTGGGGAAGACTATTGAACATACCACTGCTGAGAGAACAAATAAGTATGCCATGGAGAGGGTAAAACCAAGTTTCTCCTTGGAGGCAAGAATTCTGAAACTCCATCTTACATACTTTGGGCATGTGGCCAGAAGAGAAGGACATCATGCTTGCAAGGGCGGAGAAATAGTGCAGGAGAGGAACACCCTGTGTGAGATGGATTGACACAGTAACTGCGGTAATGGGGGTAGGTGTGTCAGAGACAGTGAGACTGGCTCAGGACAGGGCAGGTTTTAGAGCTATTATTGTACCTAGGACTGCTATGAGTAGAAGGTGACTTGATGGCACATTACAACAACAACAATACACCATTTAGAAGCTATTTTAAATTGTCAAGTCATTTATATTTCCTAGAAAATATAAGCTTAAATTATTATTTTTAATATTACAAATCATAAAACACATTCAAGGGATACTAGATGGTTATGAAGCAGAAATTAGCTCATTACCTAAGGAATAAAGTAAAAAAAGATTTGATGCAATTATGAATTTTGCATCTTAGAAATACTTTTTGTTCCATGGGTTTTGTTCAGCATAATTCAGAAATAACTAAGCTAGAATCTGATCTCTGAATACAGTACATTTTATATTATTTGTGTATTGCTGTTGGTGTCCTCATGTAGACTCTGATTTACAGCAACCCAAGAACAGCTCTAAACTTTTCCCTGTTCTTTCTTCAACATCCTCACAATCTCTGTCATGCTCAACCTACTATTACAGTAATTGTGTTAATCTCATTAAGATTTTAGACTTTTTCTCTCTTTCAAAGATCTTTTCTAGCATGAAATCTTTTTTCAAAATCTCTGCATCTCCCTATATGTTCGAATTATGAAAAACAAAGTTTCATCATCCTTGCTGCCAAGGAGTACCCTGGTTGCTTTCTTTGGGACAGATTTGCTTGTTCTTTTGGCAGTTGATGGTCTATTTAATACTTATCAGCAACACAAAAGTATAATTTCTTCTTTAATATTCTGCATCCACTTCCTAAACAACATGCCTCCAGAAACTCTATGAACTTTGATAAATGTTGATAGTTGCAGAGGGGCTTCAGGCCTTTTTTTTCATAGGGTCACTATGAGTCATGCTCGACTCAAAGGCAATCAACAACAACAACATACACTGTCCAACTTTCATGCAAATATGAAACAAAAAATACCATAGTTTGGGTCAGGTACACCTTCATTTTTAAATTGGCTTCATTGCTCTTGAGCAGTTTAAAGAAAGGTCTGGAAGTGCTTTGTGCATTCAGTGTGAGTGTACGCTTCTGACTAGTTTGAAAATGATCTTCAGCAGCATTTTGCTTGCAGAGGAAGATGAAAGATGGTCGACCAGAGCATTGCACAGAGCTTGCTGCCTCACAGCCTGCCTTTAGACAACCTTGGTTGAGTCCTTGTTCTACTACCTTTTTTTTTACGTTTTCAACCTTCAGTGGGTCTGTTCACCACTGTAGAAGCCTCTTCTCCATTTGTGGGAGGAGAAAGTAATAATATCTACTTTGAGTTACAATTAGACCACTTGGCAGAGAGGAAGGGGGCAATGATGGCAGTACTAGAGCCAGGAAGTGCTGTCGCTGGCTGTGGTCGTCAATGTGGCACAAGGTCCAGACATCAGAAGAGCTTTAGGGTGTTAGGGTGGGGGGAGCTGTCTGGCCCCTGGAGAGAGTTGTCCAGCCCCTGGGGAGAGCCACCTGGCAGGGGAAAGCACTCTGGCCCCTGGGTAGAGCTGTCTAGTGTGTATGAAGAACTTTATCTAAGCCACTTTCCTCCATCTCCTCCTCCAGTATACCTGTAAGTAACACCTCCAAAGCCCTTCTCTTTATAACTCAAAAGTTTGTCCTTTCTAGGTTTACTCACTTTTCTATAGGTAAACTGAACACTGAGTCTTGTTCCAGAACCTGAAGCCTGAGGCCGGTTCCAGAGACAAAAGGGAAATGTAACTGCCAGCTAAGGAAGCAAAGGTAGATGGAGCTTCAAAGTTCAGCCAGCTCCTACCACTGTTCTCACTCATGCAAATAGCTTGCAGTCCAGAGAGCTGAAAACATCATGAAAATATCTTCTAACTGAATAAGAAGGCATGCAACTTCAACTCAAGACTACCAGTAAAGTGTTGAAGTGAGCTCCCCTTCCCCTTCATCTTAATGCACTTGTTCAGCATGAAGCAGCCAGATAGTCTGCGCCCCTACTCCCAAGTGAGAAACCCACAAGAGAAAGACAATCTCTTTGTTAAAAAAAAATCACCATTGGACTACGCCTACTATTATCCCATCTTTTCTGGTCTCTGCCAGATCTTTCTCATTTCCCTCTAACCATCAAAACTGTGCAACCCTACCCATCCTCACCCTTCTGCTCCCACCCCTAACTCCCTTGGATATACATACATGTTTTGTACAATTTAAAAAAAACAAAACCAAAAACACCAAACAAAGAAAGAGGTCTTTTCAGCAAATATGGCCACTGCAATACATCTTTTGATTCTTGACTGCGGCTACCATAGGTATTTGATTATGGATGCAAGTAAAAGGAAATCCCTGACAACATTAATTTTTCTTCCATTTATCATGATGTTGTCTATATGCCAAGTAGTGGAGATTTTTGTTTTCTTGATGTTTGGCTGTAATCCACATTGAAGGTTGCAGTCTGATGCTCCCTAAGGGCTTCAAGTCTTTACTTTCTGCTATCCAGGTTGTGTCACTTGTATTAATGCAATTTTTAAATGAATTTTTCTCCAGTCCTAATGTCACATTCTTCTTCATATAGTGTAGAGCTTTTCAAATTATTTGCTCAGCATACATACAGAATAGTTATGGAAAAAGGACCTGACTTGATGCATATTTTTCCTGATTTTACATCATGTATTACTGCCTTGTTCTGTCCCAGGGTCTGCTTCTTGGATTGTGTACATATTCCTAATGAGCACAAGTAAGTGTTCTGGAATTTCCAGTGCTTTCCATCATTCATTATGACCAACACAGTCAAATGTCTCTGCGGAATCAAGAGAATACAAGTAAACATCTTTCTGCTTTCAGCCTAGACACATTTGACTCCAGTAGTTATATTCCTCATTTCACGGCCTCTTCTGAATCTAGCCTGAATTTCTGACAGTGTACTTGCTTCAGACATTTTCCCCTCCAATAATCTTCAACAAAGGTTTTTGTTTTTGTGATATTAATGGTAGTACTCAATAATTTCCACACTCTGTTAGATCACCTTTTACTGGAATGGGCACAAACATAGATCTCTTCCAGGTGGTTGCCCTAATAGCTAATTTGGCATGGACAAAGTGGGACAGACTGGGCATGTCCAGAGCTGCAAGTGTTTGTTGAAACACTTCAACTGGCATTCTCTTATTTTTATCAATCCTTATTGCAGCTTGGATTCCTTCCTTCAGCACCACTGGTTCTTGATCATATGGTACTTTCTGAAATGGTTCAGTGTTGATGAATTATTTTTGGTATCATAATTCTGTGTGCCTTCCATCTTCTTTTGATGCTTTCTGCATCATTCAATATTTTGCTTCAGTACTGCAAATAGTGGCTTGATTCCCTCCCCCCCTCAAATCTTTCAGATTCAGAAATGCCAAATAAGATCTTCCCTTCTGGTTTATAACTTCCAGGTTTTTGCACCTGTCATTATACTTTGCTTTGTCTTCTCAAATGTCGCTTGGAAATGATCTGTTAGCTTTCTTATTTAATAATTTCTTCCCTCTGCTCTGAGTAGTTGAAAAGCAAATTCCAGAATATCTTCTGACATTTATTTTGGTCTTTTCTTTTGTCCATGTTATTGGTCGCCCCCCCCCTTTCTTTATGGATGATGTTATCCCACAACTAATCTTATCTTTATTCATCAATGCTCAATGTACTGAATCTCTATTCTTGAGAGTTTGTAAGTTCAAGTGAGACAAATTAAAAATATTTGGGAAGCTCTGGTGGCCTAGTAGTAGAAACTGTGCTGCAATCTCAAAGGCATGCAGTTTGAATCCACCAGTTCCTTTGTGGAAGAAGGATGGGCATTCTATTCCTGTGTGATTAACTGCCTCTGAAAACCTGCTGAAGGGTCAGCTATATGTTGGTTCTGACTTGATGGCGCACACCCCCCCCTCCACCCCCCCCCACTACCACCACCAAACTTGTTTCTTATTTTCTTCATTTTCAAGTTGAACAATCCTGTGAGTAACTAATGGGTCTATTCAACAACTGGTCCCTGGCTTTGCTCTCCCTGCTGATATTGAGCTTTTCCATGATCTCTTTTCAAATGTAGTCAATTTCATCAGGGAAGATGCATGTATGTGAAAAAGTGTATGCTTTTTTAAAAAAGCTATGTGCAGTGAATAAGGAATAGGTGATACAAAAATCTATCATATAATCTCTGATCTCATTTCTGTCACCAAGGTCATAACTTCCAACTAGTGACCCTCCAACTTTGTTTTCAACTTTCACATTCAAGTCACCAGTTATTACTAATGCATCTTGATTAAAAGTTTGACCAACTGCAGACTGCAAAAATTGGTAGAAATCCTCAGTTTCTTAATTTTTTACTTCACTAGTTGGTGTGTACATCTGAACAACTGTTATATGCATAGGTCTTATATGTGTAAGCATAGTATCCTATAGCTTGTAGCAAGCAGCTCATGGCAGAATTTGAAATTTTAAGTTCTTTTACATTTTTAATAGTATTCATTCATCCATGCACACTTCCTCTCCCCACCTACCCCCATTCCACTTGTAAGGCTATTACTTGTCATACACATGATTTCCAATCATCCACTCCTTTCAGAGGGTCCTTCCTTTCTCCCAGTCCAGTGCAGTTTTCATTATCCATTTATTCTTATACCAATCTTTCTCTCCTCCTCCCATCTTGATCTTATTATTACAATAATGGGCTTATGCAATATTTGTCTTTTTGTAACTGAGATATTCCACTCAGCATAATGTCTTCAAGACTCATCCATGCTGTGTTGTGTGAAATGTTCTTTGTGAAGATGGATGTAATACCATTCTTCCTCAATTTGTCATTTCTGACATAGTAGGTCATATGAACTTCTGGTTAAAAATGGCTAACAGAAAAAAAAAATGGCTAACAGGCCATTACAACTCACTAAGTCTTTATGTTTTGTATCTGATTTTCACAATTGCTTATTTTCCTAGATTCATAGTTACAGCCTAGATTCGAATTATTAATGGATGTTTGCAGCTATTTCTTGTTATTTTAAGTCACATCAACAACTAAAGGTCCTTAACTGGATGAAAGATTTAGTCCAGTTGCACAGAGAACTTTCCATCCTGAGGGGGCGCATCTTTTGGCACAGTGCCAGACAACACTCTGCTGTTCTTCATAGGGCTTTCTAGGTCTGGCAAGGATAGCCAGGCCAGCTTCTTAGTCAATCTTACTGTGGAAGCTCCTCTGAATCCTGTCCACCACGGTGACCCTACTGGTAACTGGAATACCAGCCTTAAAGATCCTAGCATCACAGTAACATTCGAGCCACCAGAGTAGTGCAGACAGTCAGATGAATGGTGTTCTTGCTGGTTTTAGAAAATACACAAAAGGAACAAATCTTGGCAAGACAGTCTAAATCTTCCCAGAAATTAAGAATTCCAGGATTCAAGCCTCTAAGTAAATTTTAAAAAGGTAAGTTTGGCAGGGAAGGAGGGTGAGAGCTCACAGTTTTTGGTTCTGTCGTTGTCCCTGTTGGCCTCGTCGATTGCTTGCTGGATCTCTTCCAGCCAAAGAACTTTAGAAACACCTTCAGAATCCTGGAAACAATGTCAGAGAATAAAAAGAAAAAAGGAACAGTGAATGCTGATGAAACAGAATGAATACATGCTTTCCAGAAGCCACTTTACATTAGTTTCCACAGATTTCTTTAGCTGCTTGCTACAGAGCAAACACTATTCTGTCCTGTAAAAGGGACTCAGGCAACAGGCGCAATCTGACCAGCAGGCACTCATTGTCTCCTCATAAGCTGTTGCACTGCTTGGTCTTCCATCTGCTGATTTCCAGGTTTGTTCTCTACCACAGTGGTCCACAGAGAATGAGATGGTTTCCTCCTCTGCATATGAGCCTTCAAAGGTTTTACACTGTAGATATAAAGAAACATAGAACCCCTTCATCCCAATCCCTGTGGGGTGCTATGAAGCTGCCTAGCCCTGACTTCGTCTCACACCCCTATGACTAAGTTTCCCCTCGTTTTTAAGAATGCAACTCCAATGCTACCTCCTCCACAAAGGCTCCCCTGACTGTTCCAGCTAAACATTCTCTCCCCTCTTTTAATTGCTCAATCACTGTGGTTTCCAAACTACATGCCAAAATGGCCAGGATATCAGGAAAAACATGAAATTTGAGAAATACATGGTGATGTGTGGCATTTATTGATTACAGAGACAAAACCAAAAAAAGAAATAAAGTCATGGTGATTAGTAAGCTAGTAGGAGAGACAGATGTGTCAACATATAATGACATATCATCTCATCCCTGCAACAATAGCAAAGTTCAACAGGGCAGGAAACAAAAAATGCTGGTGAGGTTGTACAGAAGTTGGAACTCTATTCCACCTCTGGTGGGAATGTAAAATGGTACAGCCACTATGGAAGGTGGTCTGGCGCTATTATCAAAAAGTTGGAAAAATACCACTTGATTCAATAATTCTACTACTGGGAATATGCCTTAAAAACACCAGAGCCACTGCTCAAACAGATGTATGCACATCCATGTGTCCATTAACAAATGGATAGGTATGGATAGGAAAACTATGGTACATTCCCAAAATGGGCTATTATGCAACACTTAAAATGTAAACATTACACAATGAACTTGAAAAGCATTATACAACATGGAGAAGCCTGGAGGGCATAATACATTATACAGAGTGAAACATATCAGTCACAGAAGGACAAATACTGCATAACACTGTTGTTACAAAATAGGACAGACAGGGTGGAGGTTGGGGAGAGAATGGGAAAAGAGTGGATAGATAATGAACATTGCAATAGAGTATATGAGGGGAAGAACTCTCCAAAAGGAATATGATTACACATTATATGTATGACAACAATCTGGAACAAGGGTTGCATTATGGGGTGAGCTGTGGGAAAGAGAGGAAGAAAATGTGCAACAATGAATAAAAAATATTATAAAAAATAATTATAATATAAAGTTATTAGCACAATGCTAGCTATAAATGTGTATCTAGAAATAGCTAAGAAGAAATACACCATGGTCGGAGGGTTGAGCTGTAGAAGGAAGAAAGACTGGGCAGTTAAGGATGGTTTCAGAGAGGTGATAGCAGCAATTAAAATGGGCTGAAGTACCTTATGACTCTCTCTTTGGTTAATTCCAATGTAGAGTTAACACAGAATTTATGATATGTGAGTTCCAACCAGCTATCATGCTTCATAAAAAAACTTGCCCAAGATGGCAAATAAACTTTTTTATCAGAGATATAAATTAAATCTTTTTAGGGAGGATGAGACATTCCATGTTTCTGAAAATTGGGAATCTTTGCTTGTGTACAGTAGAAAGTATCACAGCCTAAATCCTGAAGCAAGATAAGGATGAGTGGGAGGTCCTGATGCTGGGCTTGAAGCCCACTGGGTGCTCTGGAAAACCAACCTCTCGTTTACGACTCTAGGTGAATGCGGACAGGAAGGAGAAAGACGGTTCTCTAGCTCTGCTGCTTCTCTGACTGGCATCTAACCCCGATTACCTCAGAGGCTAAAGTGTATGGAAAGAGCTCTGAAAAGGAGGTAAAATGTCTGCAGTTCTATCATCCCACAACATCGAGGCTGATAGAAAGAAATTTCTGGTGAAGGAAGGCTGAGCCCTGTTCCCCCAGCCATCTCCAGCCAGACCTACCACTTGGGACCCATCAGCTGTTACTAAGACATTCCATTTCTTTGGAGAATGGATGGGGACGATTTAAACAGGAAACAAGACGGGAGGGCAAAGACTAGCAGAATAATGAATGGGGGTGGGAACACTCAGGAATTTTTTTTTCCTTCTTCTGTTTCTCCTGGCCCAAAGACAACACAATATTCTCCATTCCATTATCTAAAAACAAAGTTCTATACAAGTTTATTAATGTGTGCCTTTATATTTTTGAAGGGTGTTTACTCTTCTTCTTATGTAAGTTAATACTACAGAAGATACACCAGCTAAAATGAACCAGATGAGAAGACAATGATAATATTTCTTTAAAGTTTCAAGTATTATCTGTACAGGCGAGTTAAAGAGAGACTTTGAATGCATTTTCAAATCAATTTAAGACCATAGTTTAAATTGTGACACAGTAAACAAACATTTATCTTGGAGAAAGTATAGCCAGAGGGCATTTTGGAGGCAAGGATGGTGACGCTAGTCTCACATACAGTGAGCATGTTGTTAGAAGAGGCTATTCCTTGGGAATATACCTTTTCAACTTGTATTCAGAACAGATCATCTCGGAGGCTGGGCTCTGTGAGGAGAAATACGGCATCAGGATTGGTGGAAGATCTATCAACAATCTGTGTTATGCAGATGACACAACTCTGCTTGCTGAAACTGAGGAGGACCTGAAGCGCTTGCTGCAGAAGGTCAAGGACTGCAGCCTCCAATATGGATTAAGGCTCATTGTCAAGTAGACAAAGATTCTCACCACTGACCAATTGGCAGCATCAGGATGGATGGTGAAGAGACTGAGATTGTTCACAGCTTTAGTTTGCTTGGCTCCATAGTCAACACTCTTGGCACCAGCAGCCAGAAATTAAAAGACATATTGTGATGGGAAAGTCTGCTGTTAGGGACCTCTCTAAAGTACTGAAGAGCAATGGTGTCTCTTTGGAGACTAAGGTGTGTTTGATACAGGTCATGGTCTTTGCTATCACTTGTTATGCATCAGAGAGTTGGACAATGACTAAGGAGGATAGAAGGAGAATTGATGCCTTTGAGCTTTGGTGCTGGAGAAGAGTATTGAGAGTACCATGGACTGCCAAGAAAACAGTTTCATCCTGGAGAGGGTTAAACCAGGCTGCTCCTTGGAGGTAAGGATTCTGAGTCTTCGTCTGACATGCTTTGGTCATGTTGTAAGGAGAGACCGATTCTTGGAGAAGGACATCATGCTTGGGAGGGTGGAGGGACAACGCAGGAGGGGAAGGCCTTCTAGGAGATGGATTGAGTCGATGACTGGGGTAATCGGGATGAGTATGTCAAAGGCAATGAGATTAGCACAGGACAGAACAGAGTTTAGGGCTGTTGTACACTGGGTCACTATGAGTCACAAGTGACTTGACGGCACATAACAACAACAACAATTCCTTGGGAAGAGACTTTAGGCTTGGAAAGGTGGAGGATAAATGAGAGGAAGACCCTTAAATGAGATGAACTGATACAGTGACTGTAACAATGAGTTCAAATGATGAAATGGCAAAGGACAGCACAAATCTGTCATTCATAGGGTGGCTATGAGTTGTACTCGGTTCAAGTGTTCCTAACAACAAACTGAGGACAGAGTTAAGTACAAAGGCAAGAGTGAGTAAAAACTGAAATTTACTCAAAGTGTCCTTTTCAAAGTACATTACCTAAAACGGAAAATAATGTGATTGTTATGAATCACCGCACCTTTACCTTTAGATAAACAGTTATGTTCAACATGCAAATTACTGGTAGGTTACATGAACAGGAAGTAGGTCATGTGCAATGAAAGAAAAATTTTATGAATTTAGATGACATGTAAAAGAATTATTTCAAGTAAATAAAATGTACCTTTAACATTTGGTTTTGTTTTTCTTTTGGTTATAATTTATTTCTATAAGATAGCATACTTTCTTAATATGTGTTAGCAAACAGTATATACAACTGAAGTAGTGAGCACAGATATTACTGTGTAAAAATACTGGTTTGATGAGATGTACTTGAAAGTTCACACAGATCAATTCCTAGCTCTACTCTTCAGTTTTGAAGGCTTGTGAGGAATTTACATTCTTTGGCTCTGGTAACAAACATGCTATTTCTCTGTTGAAGTTATCCCATTAGTTACAGGAAAACGTACTGTAATACAGTTTTCTTTCTGGAGTGACTTAAAATATAAGTATAAGTAAAAGCTAACTGGAGATTTGCTCTTCAGTACTCCTGGCATAAAGGGGTTCTCCATCCTTCCACACTGTATTATGATTTTTAGATTCAGGAAATAGCGTTTTTTTTTTTTTTTGTTTTTTTTTTAGGTCCCTCAGTCACTTAGCCCTACAGAATTAAAGGCTCAGGACATACTAACCAGTGGCAACAAACAAACATACAAAACATCTCAAATAAGTAAGCAAACGAGCAGTAAGATACAAGAACCAAACTTCACAAAATCAAGTTCTGGACAAATTCTGATGATAAATTCAAACCAACGTGATGTTAAGGGAGATTTTCAAGGGAGTTAAGTATCCACTTTTGACTTCTTGCAAATGCTCGCCTTCCATGATTGATTTTATTGATAATTATGGAATGAGCTCAAGGCGGCCTACTCAGCAGGAAGTTGTGTTGTTAACCCAGAGGCATGTGGTTCCAATCCACCAATTAATTGCTCAAGGGGAGGGAGAATATGGGCAATTCTCCTCAGTTTCTGAAAACTTGCTGGAGAGTCAGCTATAGTCTGTTCTGACTAGCCAGCAATGAGGTGTTGTGTTTTTTTTTTTTTTTTTAGTTTGAATGAGTTTAAGAATTAACTTTTAAAATATCTGTAAAGATAAGAAAAAGGGTCATTTCTACTGCTCAAATACAGAGCAGAACAAAATGC